CTGACTAAGCAGCAGTTCTGCAGAAAAGGACCTGGGGATTACAGTGGACGAGAAGCTGGATACGAGTCAGCAGTGTGCCCTTGTTGCCAGGAAGGCCAATAGCATATTGGGCTGTATTAGTAGGAACACTGCCAACAGATCGAGGGAAGTGATTATTTCCCTCTATTCAGAACTGGTGAGACCACACCTGGAGTACTGTGTCCAGTTTTGGTCCCCCCACTACAGAAAGGATGTGGACAAATTGGAGAGAGTCCAGCGGAGGGCAACAAAAATGATTAGGGGGCTGGGGCACATCACTTACAAGGAGAGGCTGAGGAAACTGGGGTTATTTAGTCTACAGAAGCGTACAGGGGAATTTGATAGCAGCCTTTAACTACCTGTAGGGGGGTTCCAAAGAGGCTGGAGCTTGGCTGTTCTCAGTGGCAGATGACAGAACAAGCAGCAATGGTCTCAAGTTGCAGGGCGGGAGGTCTAGGTTGGATATTAGGAAACACTATTCCACTAGGAGGGTGGTGAAGCACTGGAATGGGTTACTGAGGGAGGTGGTGGAATCTCCATCCTTAGAGGTTTTTAAGGCCCGGCTTCACAAAGCCCTGGCTGGGATGATTTAGTTGGTGTTGGTCCTACTCTGAGCAGGGGAATGGACTAGATGACCTCCTAAGGTCTGTTCCAACCCTAAATATTCTATGTTTTAGACATGAGTTAGCAGGTCCACATAAAACTAGCTAGTGAAGCAACAAACCCTAAAATCAAGTATCAGAGGGGTAGCTGTGTTAGTCTGTATCCACAAAAACAACAAGGAGTCCGGTGGCACCTTAAAGACTAGCAGATTTATTTGGGCATAAGCTTTCGTGAGTACAAAACCCCACTTCTTCAGCTGCAGCCTTGTTGTTTTCATAAAATCAAAACAATCAGAGAGCAAAGCAGAGTTTCAAGAAGGTTACAAGGCTGTTGGTAACAAAACATTGAATTATTGGGGAGAAAAACATCCTGTCAAGTCTTTTGGCATGCTAGTTACTTCCATTATTTCATCCACATGGTATTGTTCTAGCTTGTTATTTTTTATACTATAACAAGCTAATTTTTTTGATCTGGCAGCATGTGATTTACCACCTGTCCAGCTGAATGCTTGAAGCTGACAGGTTAATGTCTATTTAGAAGTGCCAACTATGGTAAGCATTTGTGAAAGCAAACTATCCCAATACAGAATTACCCTCTTCTCACCCTGTCAGGGTAGATTAAAATCAAGGCAATTTAAAACACCAAGTGGAAAGTCTCCATTTTAAAAAAAAAGTACACTGAATTCAAATCAACTTTTCTTTAGGAAATAACTGAAGTACAAATGGAAGAGTACACTCGCACTGGTTGATATAACCATTAAAACATGCTGATTTACAACTTAATAAAGCCTTAATACTAGATGGGATACATCTTTTTGCTACTTATGAGGGTACACCATAGCTATACACATTTAAGCAATTACATCAGAATCTCAAAATATTAAGCTAATTGTACATTTTTAGTATATTAGAAAATGGTGAATGACATTGCTTCTTCACTAGATAATCAACTTTCTGCTCATGATTTGTAGCAAGCTGCATTAGGGTGGCAATTAGAATTTAAACACAAAACAGGATATAAAATGTATTTGTATTAAACAAAAGAAGCTCTTAGCACAGTACATGACTCATTGCACCATATTTAAAAAGGTTGATCTCAAGTTAAATGGTCCTTCGCCCGCCCTCCCGATTTTCTCTTTATGTAGAGAAGCAGCTTTTAAATTTAAAGTTTTTGACAGATGCATGGATGCAGCATATTTAAATATTCTGAACTTAATAAAATTTACACCTTAGCATATTTTACATTAAGTTCAGATTTTTAAATATCTTTCCAAAAATCTTTTAAACAGAATAAAAAAATCCAATATAAAAAGATGCAATTATTTTGGTTAAAAAAATAAAATTGATTTTTATTCACATTGCTCCCAGTATTCCATTTCACAGCACTTTTTGCCTACAAAGAAGGAAACCAGTCCTCTGACATTTCTCTCCTCCCCATTAGTATCCTCCAAATATTCCATCGGACAGACCAGGTGCAGTGATGGTTCTACTAACTGTTATGTGCAGCACCCAGATACAATGGAGATGGTCGTATTAAAAATCTTTACATTAAGCTGATGAGCTGTAAAGAAAAGAAAAACCTGAGGGATCCCCAAGGCTGCAACAAACACCATAACACTCTTACTGTGAGGTAAAGGGAAAATAAGAGCTGTTGATTCTTTCAGTAGAAGAGATGTGAATCACCAAGTACAGTATCAGGTAAATCTGAAGGCATGCACTTGTGAGTCATTGAACAGTCAGTCACTTTCCCAGGAGCTCTGACTGAGGCTGGAATGAAATGGCTCAAGCATTATTTCCTTAAGGACATACATTTACTTCAGCTGTGATGTGAAAGCGTGGAGGAGGCTCTGCTCACTCCTGGGAGACAGGTGAAGCATTTAATGTTGAGAAAGCTACAAGAAAAGGAGATCTGGATCACGGCACCTGAGAATTCAGTGGGGCAGGCAACTTCAAACTATAACTCTATAGTCATGCAACGTACAACCATTTCTAACATGGTGGCCTGACTAGAAAATAGGGGCTGAGAATTGTTCTAGGATTCCTGAAGTCAGTGGAAATGGCAGACGATATCTTTGCTAAGTGACTTCTGGAATTTTTGTTTTGATCATCAGTGCCGTTCTGAAGGTCCAGGTCCTCCATTTTTCCACAGAACAAGTTCAACATGAGCAGTAGCAGTGCAGTCTACCCCACATCACCAGTGAGCCCATATTGGATAGAGGGGAATCTAGTCTCCATGACTGCACTATTTACTGAGACCAACTACAGAGCCTGTTACAACCAGGTCTCATGGAATATTCTATGACAGTGACATCTCTCCACTAGGAACTAGACAGAAACCAAACGCTTTCACATAAACCAACAGATGGTCACTGAGTAGGGAGGGACAAAGTTATGCAGAGACTTTAAAAGGAGGACAAGAGTTCATGTAGTGGAGAAGGGGGAGCCAATGCAGGTATTCAGAAAGGCACAATTCACACTGATTGCTCTGACCAAGCAATCGGCATGAAAGATCATCTGCCATCTTCCATTCAAAACTGTTAAAGAAGTCAAGCCAGGCGATGAGGTACTGAATGAGGAATTTTAACTGCCTGAAAAGAGAAAATGTTGAATCTTAGAAATATTGTGGAGGAGGAAGAGGCAAGGTAAGGACACAGGCTGACTGCAAGTAAGTCAAAGCTAATACCCATTATGTATAGGGATGACAGTGTAATCTTCAACAGTGACAGTATTGGGGTGCAGAAAGTTCAGGAGGAGAGATCAGGAATTCAAGTTTCTCCATGTTGAGCTTAATTTGACAAGGAGACCTCCAGGGGGAGTCTTGGGAAGCTCCCATATGCCAAGAAGATTTTCCAAATGAATTTACACTCACATACTGCAATAAAGAGTGATATGCTTCCTAGAGTCTCAGCAACTTGCAACAAAAGTGAATCACATCAGACAGGATGAAGTCATATTAACAATAATGATTAACTAGAGTTCTGACTAACTGTTTACAATGCAGTCATAAGAGACTTAGAAACTGCAGGCATGTGTCTCATTTCTTTCGGTGTCAGCAAGGAAGCAAGCATCAGGCATCACAGAAAATAAGTTGTATCTAGCCAGTAACAGACTTCAACAGCAATCTTCAATGGTTAATTACAGAACAGCAGTGAAAAAGCTTCCAGTGGAATTCCAATCCATCCCCTTTAGCAGGTGGATACACTGAGGGCCTTCAAGGAGGAGAGCCAGGCACTCTCTCCAGCTTTAATAAGGACCCCCCACCCCTCACCCCAAGAAATCCCATCCCAAATATTTTTTATATTGCCAGGCTTTTTAAAGGAGATGCATCATGACCAAAAGTATTGAGCTTTTTTAAAATTAACATTTACATGGATTTATTTCCCTACATAATAAATAGCAATCTCCTGCATTTGGAAGCCAATCATTTTCCCAGGAACTTTGCACTCTTAAATTTTCCTCTCTCCACCAATTCATGTGTTTTCTTACAGAGTCTGTAGACACAATGTCTGAAGAAAGCCATCTGGGTGTATGTTTTTCCTCTCACACTCATGCCGTGGGTCCCAGCAAAGGGAAGAAATGTAGGTCTTGAAGGATTTTAAAGGAACTGATCTTACTCATCTTTAAATGTTTTCAACTGTACTCACATGGAGCAATTCCATTAAAGTCAGTTGGACGATTTGTCTAATTAAAGTGACATGCTTAAATACTTGTGGGATCTCAGCTTGTGTGTTTTTATTATTATTATTATTATTAATAATAAAGGTTTGAGCAGAGAAGAGTACATTTGTTTTTAAAATAAGATTCTCCTCCAGTGAAGTTTAGGAGTCCAGTACTAGATCAGGGGGATAGCACAGAAGGGGGAGGGGAGGGGGGAGAAGAGAAAGAAATGCATGCATTTGTATTGTAGGCTTTAGGAGTCCACTGAAACTTCACCTTCTGTTATCTTCCTCCAAAAAGAACTGGAAGTTAAGGCCATTTTCACCCCCAATATATAATTCTCACAATCTTAGTTTGTTAAAAAGACATCCATTAATAGTTTATTAGGTCTTTATAATTAGAATCTTAATACATGTTACCAACTCAGATTCATACATTTTAAGGCTGAAAGGGACCATTATGTAGGGTTACCATTCGTCCGGCTTCCCCCGGACATGTCCGGCTTTTCTCAGTTAAAAATAGCGTCCGGGGGAATTTGTAAATGTCCGGACTTCCCTCCCCATGCAGAGTGCGCGCGGCTGACAGGGCAGCCGGCCGGATGGTGCCACTTGCATGGGGCTCCGGCAGCCAGAGAGAGCCCCTCCTCCGCTTCCCCCTCCTCTCCCCTGCAGCTGAGATCACTCCCCTCCTCTCTCTCCCTCCCTGCATTCGCAGCCAGCCGGCCGTTCGTAACGGACCTCCGGCAGTCTGGAGCTCCTCCCCCTGCCCAGCGCACCGCTCTGCAGCACTCTGCGAGGGCGGGAACCAGGCTATGCGCTCCGTGGGGGAGCGCGGCAGTGTGTCGGGCTGCACGTGGAGCCCGACACGCTGTTCTGAGTGGCACGGTAAGAGGGCCAGGGGGTCAGAGAAGGGGCAGGGAGGTTCTGGAGGGGGCAGTCAAGAGACAGGGAGCAGGGGGAGGGTTGGGAGTTTGGGGGGGGCTGTCTGGGGGTTGGGGGTGTAAGGTTTTGGGCAGTCAGGGTACAGGTAAGGGGTATGGTCCTAGGGGGGCGAGTTGGGGGACAAGGAACAGGAAGGCTTAGATAGGGGGTAGGGTTCTGGAGGGCAGTTAGGAGCAGGGGTCCCAGGAGGGGGCAGTCAGGGGACAGGGAGGGGATAGGATTCTAGGTGGCCAGTTAGGATGGGGGGGGTCTCAGGATGGGGCAGTCAGGGGACAGGTAGGGGATAGGATTCTAGGTGGCCAGTTAGGATGGGGGGGGGCTCCGGGGGGGGCAGTCAGGGGACAGGTAGGGGAT